TCCAAATTGGGTCCATTTAGCCATTTTCCCTCCCTGGTGTCATGTGATTCGTTGGTGTTACAAGGTCTCCGGTGTGAATGGGGAGCAGGTGTGTTAAATTTGGTGTTATTGCTCTCACTCTTTCATACTGGTCACTGGAAGTTCAACAGGACACCTCATGGCAAATAACTCTCTGAGGATTCAAAAAAAAAGAATTGTTGCTCTACATAAAGATGGCCTAGGCCAGGGGTCTGCAACCTTTAAGACATAAAGAGCCACTTGGACCCCGTTTCCGAGAGGGAAAAAAAGACTGGGAGCCGCAAAACCATTGCAACATTTAAAACAAATCCGACACTGCATATATTGCAAAAAGCGCTCTGGTCATGAAGGGGGTTTAAGGGCCCAGTAAGCAAAGGGTTAATCAGGGCCACAGTGTATCGTCATAATCACAATCATAGCCTTAGGTCAGTAGTGGGCAACCTTTTTTTTTCAACTGAGCCAAATCTCGCCAAAACCACAATTGAAATTTATTTTGAGAGCCACATTTTTAAAACTGAAAATTCATCCCCCATATAGTAATTCATCCCCCATATTAATTCATCCCCCATATTAAGTCCCCAAGTCCCCCCTGTGTCAATTCACTTACCTTTGCTCCGCGCGTTCCTCTCGCCGTGTTGCCGCGCCGTTCCGGTGTAGCATGAAAATCTGTCTCCTATGAGGATCTGTCCCCCTCGACGTATCTGCGCATGTGCCAGTTTCAGGCATTAGTAGCCAATCGGCGATCTCCGCCACATGCGCAGATACGTCGAGGGGACAGATCCTCATAGGAGACAGATTTTCATGCTATACCGGTCTTCAGGGTGGACTGTGAGAGGAGCCTAGCGGGAGCCTAGCTCCGCGGGCCGGATTAAAAGGTCCGCCGGGCCGTAGTTTGCCCATTGCTGCCTTATTGCCTGTCACCTGGTGGGCAGTGTGCTCCGGAGCCGCAGCCAAGGTGAAAAAGAGCCGCATGCGGCTCTGGAGCCGCGGGTTGCCGACACCCGGCCTAGGCTATACGAATATTGCCAAGACCCTGAAACTGAGCTGCAGCATGGTGGCCAAGACCATACAGCAGTTTAACAGGACAGGTTCCACTCAGAACAGGCCTTGCCATGGTCGACCAAAGAAATTGAGTGCACATGCTCAGCGTCATATCCAGAAGTTGTCTTTGGGAAATAGACGTATGAGTGCTGCCAGCATTGCTGCAGAGGTTGAAGGGGTGAGGGGGCAGCCTGTCAGTGCTCAGACCATACGCCGCACACTGCATCAAATTGGTTTGCATGGCTGTTGTCCCAGAAGGAAGCCTCTTCTAAAGATGATGCACAAGAAATCCTGCAAACAGTTTGCTGAAGACAAGCAGACTAAGGACATGGATTGCTAGAACCATGTCCTGTGGTCTGATGAGACCAAGATCAACTGATTTGGTTCAGATGGTGTCAAGCGTGTGTGGTGGCAACCAGGTGAGGAGTACAAAGACAAGTGTGTCCTGCCTACAGTCAAGCATGGTGGTGGGAGTGTCATGGTCTGGGGCTGCATGAGTGCTGCTGGCACTGGGGAGCTACAGTTCATTGAGGGAACCAATAACCAATATGTACTGTGACATCCTGAAGCAGACCATGATCCCCTCCCTTCAGAGACTGGGCCGCAGGGCAGTATTCCAACATGATAACAACCTCAAACACACCTCCAAGATGACCACTGCCTTGCTAAAGAAGCTGAGGGTAAAGGTGATGGACTGGCCAAGCATGTCTCCAGACCTAAACCCTATTGAGCATCTGTGGGGCATCCTCAAACGGAAGGTGGAGGAGCACAAGGTCTCTAACATCTACCAGCTCCGAGATGTCGTCATGGAGGAGTGGAAGAGGACTCCAGTGGCAACCTGTGAAGCTCTGGTGAACTCCATGCCCAAGAGGGTTAAGGCAGTGCTGGAAAATAATGGTGGCCACACAAAATATTGACACTGTGGGCTCAATTTGGACATTTTCACTTAGGGGTGTACTCAATTTTGTTGCCAGTGGTTTAGACATTAATGGCTGTGTTGAGTTATTTTGAGAGGACAGCAAAACTACACTGTTATACAAGCTGTACACTGACTACGTCACATTGTAGCAAAGTGTCATTTCTTCAGTGTTGTCACAAAAGATATAATAAAATATTTTCAAAAATGTGAGGGGTGTACTCACGTCTGGGAGATACTGTGTGTGTATATATATATATATAAAATTATTTTTTTTCCAGTAACTCAGTCCCTATTCTAGTCATTGAAAGTAACCACTTTTTTCTGCAAATATGGGTAATTTTTCTATTGCTCCAGATGACAACACTTATTATAGTGTGAAAGTGGACTGGTGAGTACTTTCCTGATAAATAGACCTCTTGCTTGCTTTCAATAGTTCATCCGCCCTTACCCAAGATGGCTAGAAATGCTAAGGGGGTGTTTTTCAACAAAATTTCTCAACAAAATAATTCACGCAGACATGGATGGATGGGTGAGTTTACTTTGAATATATAGCACCCTCCTAGACAGCTGCTAGGTTGGGTAAATTTAATTATTGGCTCTCCTGGAATCAGTGAAGCTGCCTGTGATTGCCTTGGTCTGCTCTGAGTTTCACAGGCTGTAGGTTTGGCTGCTTCCCAATTTTATCTGGATTGTTACGGAAAGTAGTGGGCTGGGAGAGTCAAATCTACAGTATGAATATTTACGTGATCCCAGCCAATCCCGGGGGAAAGGTACCAAGATGGTGCCTGGGAGTGAGCATAAATAGTCTGAAACCTGGGTATGCTTGGTCCTTGTTCAGGAGGAGGAAATACCAGCCTGCAGGGCTGCTGCCCTTCTGGGCAGTCCAAGCTGTGCTTCTTCATTTTTTGCTCAATGAGGTCACAGCTGTGTTAGCTGGGGGGGGGGGGGGGGCTATTCTACTGGACTCTTGTGGGACTTCTTTTGGGGATCTGGTCTGAAGAATTCACAGGAGATATTTCTGGCATATATTGGAGGGAGGCATCCAACCATCCAAGGACATTAGTGAGTACAGACAGGTGTGAGAGATCCCAGTTGCTGTTTGCTGCTGCTATCCCTCTTGCATCTGAGTCAGCTTGTTATAGTTCATGGTGTCCCCGTTCATGTAGCTTAGCCCATTATTTGCAGCTGCAAAGACTGTGCTCAGAATTTATGGGAGGAAGATAAGTGTCCTCAGGTTACTACTGAATGTTTCTGGAGTATCCCAACATTATCCTGCTTCTATCCAAGTTCAAGTTTTTCAATAAAACATCAAAAATAATACCCCTAGACCAAGGGCAGACTGACAACTCATGGGGCCCCCTGGCAATAGGGATCATGGGGCCCCTGTGTCCTTGCCCAAACTCAAAAAAGCCTATGAAAAAGGTACCAGGGGCATCTCATGGGGCCCCCTACTGACCCCGGGCAGTGCCCGACTTTCCAAATGGTCAGTCCGCCCCTGCCCTAAACTGATCATTGAGCCAGAAGAGTGTCAGGCGCTGTGTGCCTGAATAGGAATGAATCTGGGTAAAATTCCATCGACCCCAGCTGGGGTGAACTCTACAAATATTAAGAAAAAAATAGCGTCTTCAGTCTGTGGTGCTCAGATACAGTTTAGTTCTCCTGTAATACTGTTTTAACCATTTGTTTTGTTTTTTTTTTAATTTAGGTTTCGGTTCTGCGAAATCACAAATAAAGATAGTACTTTTTTTTACTTACCTACAGCAGCAAAAACTGAGCTTCAAATAAATGCGAGTCCCGGGTTAAACTGCACAATGGACACTATTTGTATCTTAGCTCCCGAGCCTCCAGCACAATAAAGCACTTTGCTTACGAAAAAGCCTAATGTGTCCATTCTACTTATGTCTAATGCCTGTGAACACATTCTAATGGCGCTATTAAATATTATGTCTGCATTCACTAAATTATTCAAAGACTTTGCAATTTAGTATGTGGCTTCACCCAAGTGTCACTTACATATACCTAAATTTATAGATATGGCTTTACTGATGAGCAAACATCGGTTGTTCGATTGGGAAGATTAACACCTTCGTGTCATGGACGGCTCTATATTTTATTTTATATTGCTGCTGCAGAGATAAATAAACTTAATGGGCAACAATTTTCACTGGCTCTGCACCTTTCCATTTTGCTTTCCAACATTTATGAGGTTATTTTGCGAACTGATTAAGCTTTTGCTATAAAAATAATCAGGGTGTACCTTGTATGCACTGTTATTATTTTCTGTTTATATTGCCCCTCAATCAACTCCTTATATAATACATTGTAATGACTTATATCAATCCCTGCTCCTGAAGAGCTTACATTCTAATATGTGTACTAAGAAAAAGTGAATACGTACATTTTTGTTGCGCCAATCCATAGTGGAGCTTATTTGTTACCCAATCTCATTTTTAACCTCCTCGGCGGTATGATTCTTTCCAATTTTTTGTGCTGAAAGCGGTACCATTTTTTTGCATGGAAATATGTAGATTTGTATTGTAGGCTGTAATTTTTAGGAATAACTCACTGAAATCTGTCCGAACAAGAGTCTAGTAAACATCCCGGGTAGGATAAAATTTGAAACATGAAATCATAAATTATAATATAATAAATAATCATAAAAAATAATAATCTAATAATAATAATAAATTTAATTCAATAATATAATCAAACCAAAAACACTGAAATTTGAAATACAGAGGCAAATTCGCACATCGCTGAGCAAAGTCGCAAAATTGTTTTCAGTGTCTGATGACGAATTTCCCCCACGAATCATTATCACTTAATTCTGCAAGTGGTTCTGATTTACTATCGCTGTTCTAAAACCGCTTTTGACGTAAAGGGACGCTTTTTGGACGCCATGGACTTTTCTAAGTTTCCAGGCAGAAAGAACAGTCAAAATGCAGGCAGGGCGCCGGACAAAGCAGTAGGGACAAAATGTATGTGAAATGCATTGAAACAGCAATGACAGCAAAAATTACATTTTTTAAAAATTTCATATTTGCCACCGGTTCCGGCGCCCGTACGTCCCGACGTCACAGGGACCGGAACACGGAAGCCGGATGCTGGCATCGGCCGGAGAAAATGGCCGGGGACGCTACAGGGGACACATCGAGGGAGCGAAGGACAAGGTAAGTGCTGCAGGGACCCCCAGAGCAACGCCGCATGGTAAGCCCGAGTGTAGCTTGGGTTACCGCTCTTGGTATTGAAATTTTACCCCGAGCTACACTCGGGAAAACTGCTAAGGAGGTTAATGGACTCTGCCAGTTAAAGCATAACTATTATTATTACAGGTACTTATATAGCGCTGTCAATTTACGCAGCACTTTACATATATATTGTACATTCACATCAGTCCCTAACCCTCAAGGGGTGTACAATCTAAGGTCCCTAACTCACATTCATACATACACACAGGGCTGTGGATAAGGGGGTACCACCAGGGGCATATTTACCACAAGGCACTTGCCTAGGGCGGTATTTTTCAGGGGGGGAGCACCTCCTCCCAGAAGAAGGGATGAAAGAAGGGACTTGCACACCATGGGAACCAAGTGGGTTCCGAGAGGGGCTGCTTGATGGTGTATGCAGAGCCTGGCTATGGCTTCCAGGTATGTAAAGTGCTGTGAAGATGAGTGTCTTTCTCTCTATCGCCGGGGAGGGGGGGGGGGCAGTGGAAGGCTCTCCCGGGTTGGGGTCAGGGGTGTTGTTGGTCAATGTCAGCAATGTCAGGCTCTCTCTGTGGGAGGGGGGAAGGGGGGGTGTTGGGTCAGTGTCCGTGGGGGCAGACAATTTTTGTGTTGCCTAGGGCAGCACAAAACCTAAATACACCACTGGGTACCACCAGTCCTCCTGTATGGGGACCCAGGCAGCTGGGTGGATCAGATTTGGGCAGGGAAGGTGATCAGCACAGTGTGGGGGGCAATTACTGGAACCGATCCCCTGTACGGCTCTCTCTGTAGCAACTGAAAGCTGGCTTCTTCTCTTCTCCCTCTTACTGGCTTTCAACTGCTGCAGTGGGAGCCATACAAGCGATCAGTTCCAGTAATTGCCCCCCTGGTGCACCTATCACCTTCCCTGTGCACCATACATTTCCACCTGCTGCCCAGGCCCCCAGTGTCACCCCCCAACCCTGCAGGGCTGCCGGCTTCCCTCCTCTCCACCAGCAGCTGCAAGCACACAATAGGATCCTTCAGAATGGAGAGTGGGGGAAGGGTCCAGTAAACACATTTACCAGCCCCTTCCTTTCCTTAATGAACACAATGAGTGATTGGTACTGATCATTCACTGTGTTCGTTCAAAACTGAAGCATAGTAAACAGTTTTTTAATTTAAGGGGGGCCCTGTCAGGCTGACTGTATGGGGCCCCGTGGTTTCTAATAGCAGCCCTGCATACACATACTAGGGCCAATTTAGACAGGAGCCAATTAATCAACCAGCATGTCTTTGGAGTGTGGAAGGAAACTGGAGTACCCGAAGGAAACCCACACAGGCAGAAGGAGAACATGCAAACTCCAGGCAGGTGGTGCCGTGGTTGGGATTCAAACCAACAACCCTAGTACTGCCAGGTGGAAATGCTAACCACGGTGCCGCCCATTTTTTTGTTTTTTTTAATGCTGATCTTCACCCTCTTTCTCATCTTCCCTCTTCAGCATCCTTCCTCTCCTCTACTGTTGAAATGGGGCTTTCTTTTTTTTTTTGTCTATTAACCTTTTTTATTGTGAAAACTCCTCTGGTCCACTGCTTGGGCACACCATTTGCCTAGGCAAACGATGTGCACTTTGCCCGCTGTTCCTCCTGGGATAAGCACTTGACAAATCCCAGGAGGCATTAGCTTTCATTGAGAAATGAGGAGCGGGGCAGGCGGTAAGACATTGGGAGAGCCACCGGCTGAACATGGAATAGCTGGCAGGTTCCTGATGATGTCACAAATTAACCCCTTGCCTACCGGGCACTTCACCCCCTTCCTGCCCAGGCCATTTTTCAGCTTTCAGCGCTGTCAGACTTTGAATGACAATTGTGCCATCATGCAACACTGTACCCAAATTAAATTTTTATCTTTTTTTTTTTACACAAATAAAGCTTTCTTTTGGTGGTATTTATTCACCACTGTGAGTTTTATTTTTTAAACAAGCAAAAAAATACAAAAAAATCTTGAAAAAAAAAGTTTCTTAGTTTCTGTTATAAAGTTTTGTAAATAAGTTATTTTTCTCCTTCACTGAGGTGAGCTGATGAGGCTGCACTGATGGGCACTGATGAGGAGGAAATGATGAGACTGCATTAATAGGAGGCACTGATGGGCACTGATAGGTGGCACTGTGGGGCACTGATAGGCGTTACTGATGGGCATTGATAAATGGCACTGATGGGCACTGATAGGCGGTACTGATGGGCATTGATCAGCGGCACCAATAGGCTGCACTGATGGGCACTGATGAGGCTGCACTGATATGTGGCACTGATAGGCAGCACTGATAGGTGGCACTGATGGGCACTGATAGGCAGCACTGATTTGCGGCACTTCTGGGCATTGATAGGTGGCACTGACAGGCATTACTGAGGACGCACTGATAGCCAGCACAGATGTGCACTTTTGGGCACTGAAAACCGGCACAGATGGGAAATATTGGCCTCACTGATGTGCCTAATCATCAGGGCACTGTCCCTCTAAGAAATACCGCTTACCGGCCCTCCTCTCCTCCTTAAATTGCAGGGATTGCCTCTCACTTCATGTTCTGGTTAAGAGACAGGTGGTGAAGGTAAATCCCCCAATGGGAGAAAAACTGGCAAGGGCTATAACCCTCCATTAGTTGGGGACACTAGTTCTGGTGAGTCTGGTGACCACCAAGGACTTCTCTCACTTCCTGTTTTGGCTATGGGACAGGAAGTGAACTGAAATCTCCCCAAATTGGGCATTTTGGCCTCTTTTCATAACAATGTCAATCTAGCACTGTAGCTTGGTTGAGGCTGAACTTTAAGCAATCAGTTAAATACATATATTGGGGCTGTTTTGCCTGCCAAAGAATTTCTATTCCTCTATTTTATGTTTACACAGCTCTGCCACACAGCACAGCTCTGTCTGGCCATTAGTGATGGTCTCAATGTTCAAGTCGAACCTAAGTTCGACTCGAACATCAACCGTTTGTTGGTTTGCCAATGTGAGAGCCATGATTGGCAAAACAATTGGGTGGAGCTAGCGGTGACATTGGCGGTGACGTTTTACATCTGAACGGCAAATGTCAGACCTGTCGTATTGTGACGGGTCGGCGAGCATTGTGTTTTTTTTTGTTTTTATTTCTGTGAGTTTGCATTGTCAGGACAACACTGGACAGCATGACTGACAATGGATTACATCGATGGAACCATTTTTTTTTTTATTAAAAGACTTGTCAAAACTGTTTTTTTTGTTCAGTTAAAGGAATTTTTCAAGTCTGGTGTCTTTATTTTTTCTAAATGTAACCCTTTAGTGATTGGGTAGGGATACAAGTACCACTTAGTCATTCACAAGGGGGGCAGCATCAGGATGCCCTAAATTTAAAGGGCCTGGTATGGCTTTTAGCGGGAATTTCATGCTCTTTAAAAAAAAAAAAAATGACTGAGGGGTCCCTTCTAACCTTCCTATCAGACATAAAGGGTCTGGTAGGGATTGTGGGGGGAACCCCACGCTGTTTTTTTAATATGAAAATGTAATTTTTTTGGTAAAAAAAAAATCAGTTTTTCTGCAGCAGGTTTTATACATTGTACAGATGAGCAACTTTACAGATAGATTAAGGGGACCCCCCGACATGATATGTAACCTCCCTGGCGGTATTCCTGAGTGTAGCTCGGGGTAAAGTTTCAGTACCACAAGCGGTAACCACAAACTACACTCGGGCTTACCATGCGGCGCTGCTCCGGGATCCCTCGATCACTTACCTTGTCCTGCGCTCCCGTGATGTCCCTCCTGCAGTGTCTCCAGCAATGTAATCCGGCCGATGCACCTGTCTTCCGGGTTCCATTCCCTGCGACGTCAGGACGTACGGGGGATGGAACCGGCGAGAAATTTGAAAAGAACAAAATTGACATTCACTAAATACACTAAATACACTAAAATCACATAGTATAACATTCCTGTGTCCCGAGTGCTTTGTCCTGTGCCCTGCCTGCATTTTTACTGTTCTTTCTGCCTGGAAACTGAGAAAAGTCCATGGCGTCCAAAAAGCGTCCCTTTAGGTCAAAAACGGTTTTAGACCAGCTAGAGAACAGCGATAGTAAATCAGAACCACTTGCAGAATTGAGTGATAATGATTCGTGGGGGAAATTCCTCATCAGACACTGAAAACGATTTTGCGACTTTGCTCAGTGATGTGCGAACTTGGCGCTCTATTTCAAATTTCAGTGTTTTTGGTTTGATTATATTATTGAATTAAATTTATTATTATTATATTATTATTTTTTATTATTATTTATTAAATTATAATTTATGATTTTGTGTTTCAAATTTTATCCTATCCGGGATGTTTACTAGACTCTTGTTCGGAGAGATTTCAGTGAGTTATTCCTAAAAATTACAGGCCTACAATAAAAAAAATACATATTTCCATGCAAAAAAAATGTACCGCTTTGAGCACAGAAATATGGACATAATCAGACCGCTAGGGAGGTTAAAGAATTTTTTTTTTTACTTTAAGCAATGAAAACTGACTGCCCCTTTTAAAACAGAATTTTTTAAAAAATGTTTTACTTATTCATGTCCCTCAGGGCAGTACCCGAGTCCCCATACTCCTTTTATGGCCCAGATTTAATGCATATATCTCAATAACACTGATTTCCATACAATGTAATGTCCTTTTTTCTGTGACATTTGCTGGGCAGAAAGGATTACAAATGTCTTCCCACCGGGTGGTGAAACAACTTCTACATTTCTCTGTTTTGAAATCTTCAATCCCCGATTGTCATTCTGTCAAACTTTTACACCAGCATCTCCTGTTCTGAAAGCAAACTGTTTTGACAAATAAAAGAAAAGATTTAGACTGGAGATGGGCTTTAAAATAAAAGGTATTAGAAAAAAAAAAATATTTTAAAGCAATATTCAGTTAGATTGAATTAATAATGAGTGAACAAGGTAAACCAGGTTCGCTGAACCCAGGAAAAAAATCAGGAAAAGGAAAAATGAAGTTTGTGGAAGCCCATTCTTGTTATTTTTTTCTGGTCTTTTTCCAGGTCAGTTTACAAGATTTTGTTAAAGGGCATGGGTAGCTGAGCATTGCCATGGGGGACATATACCGATGCAAACATAAAAAAATACCTTTGAAAACACACATATTCTTAAAACTAACATTTTTGGGAATGCCTTAAACTTGAATATTCAAGTGCATACCAGGGGCGGACTGACAACTAACGGGGCCCCCGGGCAATAGGGGATCATGGGGCCCCTGTGTCCTTGCCAAAACTCAAAAAAGCCTATAAAAAAGGTACCAGGGGCATCTCATGGGGCCCTCTACTGACCCTGGGCTCTCGGGCAGTGCCTGCGTTCCCAAATGGTCAGTCCGCCCCTGCTCATGACCCATTTAGGCATACAGCTGACTGTTCCTATCTCCAACCTTTATCAGTGTTTCAGTTTGGCATGTGAAGTGGCCAAATCTGGACAGTTTGTTAGCCTGTTCACCAAACTATGGACAGGTCAAACGCAAATTCAACCCAGACACAAAGTTTAATGAACCAAAGAAAAATGAAAAAAGGCCAATTGCGGACTTTAGAGGCACTGCAACAAAAATATCTTTAAAATCACTTTATTAGAATGTAGACCATCACATAGCAATACATACAGATTATTATACAGACCCCCAAGAGATTACAAAACTCGTCAATAATAGTTAAAATTGACACAAAAATACTGTATCCCGGTAAGGGTATCAAAGGACATAGATCAGATGTCAATATTAGTAATCACTTTGTAGTTACTCGACATGTTTCGGGAGAGTATCGCTTCTTCAGGAGTCACTACATAAAAGAAAGGTTAAACATAAGTATAACATGATATCACATAGTATAATGTTATTAGTTGTTGGTTATATAAATCCATAAATACATTGAGGTATCAGCTACAAAGCAGAAAGTGTGTCAGGGTAGATATTGATAACGCATGGAGTCAAGCAGGTCAGCAAGGGGATCCCACAAGGATGATACACCACTAGGTAGTCCTTAAAAGGGGGATCTCTTGATCTAAGTGAGGTCTATAGACCGTGAAAAAAAAAAAAAAACACCCCTTCCCCAATATGTCAGACACAAAGTTTGTCCCTAGACTAAAGTACTTTTTACAATAATAACTGCATACTTTTTTTACAACTTTTATATTTTTTTATTTTAAAACCACGGTGCAGCTATCCTCTAATTAACCCCTTGACGCCGACGTCACACAAATATGCGGTCTCACAGAACTGGGCTTCTTTTCCGTGGGGCCGCATATTGTGTACCTGTCTTTGTGATGGGAACGCGCCACACAGCACGCTCCCAACACAAAGACCGGGTGTCACTGTGAGCCCTGGGTCCCGTTCTAATGATCGGGACCCGGGACTCCCGATTCCAGGTCACATGATCGCTATGATAGCCTCTGATTGGCTATCACAGTGATCAGTCACTGTACAGCCCGGCCCCCTTGTTTTTTTTCTCTCTCTATGAATGGAGACGAGAGATACATTGTATCTCTCTAACTCCTGGCATCTCTCTAACTTCTGGCATAGAGAGGAAAAAAGTTTCTGTAAAAAAAAAAAAAAAAAAAAAAAAGATAAATAAATAAATAAATATTAAAAAACAAAAGAAAAAATAAAGAAAAAAAAATACCTAGATCAAGGTTTGATCTAGTTCAGTGCCAGGATAAGTGTTTGGGTCAGAGTCAACGGTCAATTTAAAAAAAAAATGGTCAGTGTCAGTTAGTAAAAAAAAAAAAAGAAAAATAAATATTAAAAAATAAAATAAAAAAATAAAGAAAAAATACCTAGTATCAAGGTTTGATCAGTGCCAGGATAGTGTTTGGGTCAAAAGGTCAGGATGGTCAGTGTCAGTTAGTGTCAATGTGTGTCAGTTTTTAGGTTAAAAAAAAGAAAAATAAATATTAAAAAATAAAAGAAAAAAATAAAGAAAAAATACCTAGATCAAGGTTTGATCTAGTTCAGTGCCAGGATAAGTGTTTGGGTCAGGGTCAAAGGTCAGGATTTAAAAAAAAAATGGTATCAGTGTCAGTTAGTTTCAATGTCAGTGTCAGTGTGTTTTAGGTTAAAAAAGAAAAATAAATATTAAAAAATAAAAGAAAAAAATAAAGAAAAAATACCTAGATCAAGGTTTGATCTAGTTCAGTGCCAGGATAAGGGTTTGGGTCAGGGTCAAAGGTCAGGATTAAAAAAAAAAGGGTATCAGTGTCAGTTAGTGTCAGTGTGTGTTTTTAGGTAAAAAAAAAAAAAAAAAAGACAAAAACAAAATGCGCACTATTGGTTTTGGGCTGTACTATGGGTACAAACAACAAATAACCTACACATATATGGTATTGCTGTGATCTTCAAGAGCTGGAGAATTTATTTTGGGTTGCTTTTTGGTAGTAGGTTATGGTATTAACAAGAAACACACAGCTAAATAAAAAAAAGTTTTTTTTTTAGTATTTTGGGCCAGTTTTCCTTTGATAATAAAAAAAACAATCAGGAGATATCCATTACCATTTGCCACCAAATGAAAGCCCAATTTGTCCTGAAACAAATGCGGTACAATTCACCTGGATGTACAAAGTAGTTGTAATATGTACGGTTTTACTAACACATGTCAACGTTGCAAAATTGTGCTTAGGCATTTAGATTTGTTTTACCTTTAGGCGTGAAGGGGTTAAACAACAAGTGCATGTTTGAAACATAAAGTTCCAAACACCCCTCCTCTTTAGGCAGATTCGCACTTCAGCATTGAGAATAATAAACCAGCCATCACCCACCAAGAAAAATGAGCCTCAGCCTATGGAGCTTTGTGTTACAATACTGTTCTTACCCTTCAATTCATCCTACCATTCCATTCAGCGTTGTTCAATTATTAAACGTCTCAGCAAGGTATTCACCCATAATTTATACCCTTTATCATTCCTCTAAGTTACCTATAGTTCTGACATCTAAAAACAATTACTGTATCAATTAGCTTTGAAATTAAACATTTCCATCTATACTTACTTTTCTGAATCCTAATTTTGGTAATAGTGTAATAGATCACCCCAGCGATTTAGCCTGTCATTGAAGTTCATTTCCATACAGTATATTCCACGTGCTTTTCAATCAATCATCTCAACACGCATGAAATTGAAACACTTTTTTCCTAAAAATCAAATTATGTAATTATGTTGTGTTCAGTCATCTAAATTCAATTTATTACCGTTTAATGCGTTAGTTGATACTTTTTAATGTGAAAATTATCTTGCCGAATATCAGCTTTTATTAGCTAATGTGAAACTTGACATAGAATCAAGTTGACGTTCAGGGAAAAAAAAAAAAGGGGGGGGGGGGGGGATTGCCGGCTGCTAATTGCTCTTCGTTTTAAAATGATTCGCTGTCAGCCATTGGGAGTCTGGCCATTTTGTAGGAAAAAAAAATACAATTAAGCAGGTAAAGCATGGATTGTTCTGCCTAACAATGGAGAAAAAAAAAAAGGCCTAATTCTTTGGAAACCATAGGAGAGCTTTAAGACCCTCATTAATCTTAATTTAATGTCAGAAGAAAATGTTTTCATCTATTAAATGTGCTACATACTGTTACTAAAATCTCGTTATACCGTCCAATTTTATATATCTTAAAAGGAATATTTTTACATAAAATAATGCATGATGATGTTATTAATTCATAATTCAGTTAAAGTAGAACTGTGGCCAAAAAATGAAATTATATTTAAGATGGGGCTATCACTGGCATTAACCCAGCAGTTTTTGTTCAGCACGTCCCCCATAACAGTTTTATTACTTATTGATCTTGCCCGTTGATCTGTTCATTTTTCATTTGCTGTAACAGGCCAAGCTGTCCTTCATTTACTAGGGTCGGGGCAAACCATAGAACACTGGCAGAGTGCTTACAATGGTCA